TGAGAGATAGGTAAGGTATCCATTATCATGTCAGATCCTATACTGAGGTTCAGTAGTTTCAGTTAGCACTATTCAGTGTCCACCAACTGAATTCTCACTGACATTTTAAACCCACTCCAGGAAGCCTTAGAGTAAGGTCTGTTTCTCAGCATACAAGCCCTTGATGATCAGAGCCTCTTTTATGGACACTGTGTCCATGTAGCCAGGTACATGCCAGTGCCCATGGATGTTAGAACAGATAGCATGAAAGAAAATTGCCTCACGTTGTGCTAGAGGAGGCTCAGGTGAGATATTGGGGAAAAAAAGTTTCACTGGCAGGGTTGTCAAATCCTGGGACAGACTCCCCAGGGAAGTGGTTGAGTCACCATCCATAAATTTATTTCAAAGATATATAGATGAGGCACTTAGGGCCACAGGCCCCTAGGTTTAGTGCTAAGTTAATGGTTGGACTTGGTATTAACATATTTGCTAGCTAAAATGGTGCTATGATTCCAGGAAAATCAGGCAGGAAACAGCAGAACAACTCTGAGATATTTTGCTTAAGAAACTGAATACAATACTTCACTTACCAAAAATATGTGCTAGAGTTGGAACAATACAAAGAATGTCTTCAGGGATGATCAGGTGATTACAAAGTCCATTTTACAGTCAGAGGATAATGAAGAGACTTCAAAAAGTTGTCAGCCTAGCAAAACAGACTTTTGCTTCTAAGTATTTTGAGACACTAACTGGAATATGGACTATATAATGTAAAGAAAAGAATAAAGTATATCACAAGGGGGTTTCTAAAAATCAGAAAAATAAGGCCTGGAATTAGGTCTGAGTAAAAATGGTGACAGAAAACTTCTGCAGTAATGACCAAGTAATGAAAGGAGCTATTGAGCATGTTTCATTCCATTAACACAAGTGCGGGTTTGGTGACTCCAATGGTCCCCTTAAATCCCTTCTCCATTGTTCAGGAATTACCACAACAGACCCTCTGAATAAATCATCCTTTTGCTGCAGATACAAGAGAAGATTGCTGTAGAGCAGACAGAAAGGCCTTACTCCATAGTGACCATATAGCATTTAATCTGGTACTTGACTCAGAACTCTGTCCTGAGGATATGCAACATCTCAGACTTCCCTATACTGTGACCAACACAGTGCAAAAGAGGCAGGTCAGTGAAGGAACAATGAGCAGGATTAGTGGAACATTTATTGGTCATTGAGGTACAGATGGGGCTCAGGCAGGAAACAATTAATGAGCTTGTACTAGTCCTAAAGAGTCAAGCAAGGATGTGATGGTTTCTTAAGTAAATTTGCAAATTTTCCTGGTCAGTATTTAAGTCAGGAGAGAAAAAGATTACAGTTAATGTCTATTAGATCACTTCTTACTGGTTAGGCTATTAGTAAATCAAGCTGTTATTATTAACAGCAGATACCAATTCACACATTATGCCCAGTTATTGACTCACACTCAGACACTCACCAACACGAGCTGTTGTCTGGTATCACGACATGTTTGTGGCCTGGAGAGACTGGAGAATCTTGATGTTCTGAGTTTTTCTGTTCTTGTGAATCCACAGGACTGAGAGTTTCCTGACCTTATGTATTCTTAGGAGTGTTTCACTTGTCTCAGCACCCACCCATTCTTTCTTTGGTCTGGTTTTTGGTATCACATGCACAGGCCCTGCTCTTTCATGCAAATTCACCCCATGAGGGCTTTTATGACAGAAATGCAGAACCAGAGTTGATCCAAAAGCCATCATGTGTCCCACAGGACATTGTCCTGTCCCATGATTTCAGCTCGCAGTAGCAATCTTTACCTCCAATCCCTCTGAACACAGTTCTTTTGTATCTGTGGGAAATTTATACCTTTACTGCTGCACATTATAAATAGAATTTCAAAGTAGATCACTCACTGCAACATAACTAAGAGACAAACCACTTTTCTTAATTGTTTCAATTTAGAGTATGAACCCTTTTGTACAGAGGCTGTACACATTTCTGAAGGCTTCTTCCAGGTCTTATGACTGTCATTCCCATACACCTGTGAAAATGAGAAAGATAAGCACACCCAAGTGCATGTTTTGTGGTCTGAAGTTAATACAGGATGCTTCAAAACTTGTTTTGGGGCTGTGTAAGTACATGTGCCTTTGAACTGCCGTTATCTTTAAACACAACATAGATGGAGTTAAGAGATGAAGGTAATACACTGAGTGCTAAGGTAAAGATGGGGCTGCCTGAAGGAAAGTAAGCAGTTAGGAAGGAAACCACTTTCTTCCTTACTCAAGCTGTGCTGGAGGGATTTTGAATTTCAGAGAAATGAGATGTATCCTGTGGTTAAGATAAACCTGAGCTTTGAGATAGATTAATCTCTGTATCTCAAACTGACAATGGTTTAAACAGACATCTGAAATTAAGTTACCTGGAGCGGTGTTTACCTTTGTGTTATCTTTATGAATGTATTTGTCAAAGCCTTCCAAAAGCTAGTTATATATTTACTGTCTTGTGAACCCAAATGCTTTCGGAGAAGTGTCAGTCAGGAATTTTTCAGCAACAGTATCGCTTGAAGAAAGTGGACTCTAAAGAAATATTAATATTTTACAAAATTTGGTATCAGGGAGACTTCAAGAGTGAGAGCCAATATGATTTTTATTGTAAGGAAAGATAAGCTGTATTCACTTTCAGAATAAACCATATTTTGATCTTATGACACATTGAATGAAGAGTTAAACAACTTGAAAGTAAAGTTTTAATGATTTCTTTAAATTGTGGTCTAAGGCATATGTTTTCAGTGCACTTCCACTGAGATATTTTAATTTATACATACATTTCTACAGGGTTTTTTTGCGAGTATTGTTCTTTCTGCACTAGTTTCCTTAATAAGTAAAAAATATTTTTATATGATTCTTTGTTATTTTTTCCTCCTCCAGTTTGGTTAATTCCAAATAATCATGAAATCACTATTTATTCAAACCATGTGTATTAAAATTAACTTCGGGTCACTGTCTATGATTTCATGTTAAGTGTGCAGTCAGCTAAACAAGGAAACAACAGATCCAATGGCCACTGAAAATTCACATAAATTATGGCAGATTATGTTCTGACCTTTTCTTGAGAGATTTGTGAGGACTAGTTATTAATTAAATACCAGCATCTCAGTTCTCAAGATCAAAATGATTCAAGTTTCAATAGGGACCATGTGACATGTATATCTGTTTATCCCTTTTTGTAAGATAAGGCTTCTAAACTTTTCCTCAGTATATTTAAATCTTTCATCCCTGAGTTTGAAGGGAGAAGTTAAAAACAGTGGACCAGGTAGTAGCTGGTCTCCAAACCCACAATTTCTCCAGACCAAACCAGCATAACGCCACATTTCTAGCTTAAGCAAGAGATTTCAGATGTGAGCTGAGGGATGCAAATCACTCATTAAACAACATTCTACTGCTTCTTGCAATGTTTGTATATTTTCTTCCTTCAGCACTGGTGATTGTTTATTGCTAATAATTTAAATTTGTTTTCCTTTTGCAATTCAATTACTTACAGGTTACTATGAGTGTGCGTGTGGGCATGTGAGACAGAAAGAGAAAGTGGGAACTATGCAAGTGTATTTGCTTTGTGAATAGCTATTAATTTAAAATGTGTGGTAGAAAATAGCCTTGTAATTAATAAAGACATAGAAGTAAATATTTTTGTGCTCTTTCTGCATGGCAGAATCTTCTGTCAAGGAAAATGGAATTTGCAGAAAATATTACGGCTCATGTCTTGATACATAAAGAAGAAAATCTGTTCAAGAGTTGCCAGGTCTGCTATTATGTACAGCTGATTGAATCCTTAAATTTTCATATTTGGAAAACAGAAGAATGACTGTATCTTTACAAGGAAATAATTTCAAAACTGAAAATGTAGGCATCAGATATGATTAGTCACTTTTTACTAATGTTTGGAGAGTTTTATAATTTTTTATTATAATAACTGTATTAGGCATATTTTCAATATGCTGTCTTAAAGTTATTTGTTACGTTTCACAAGTGTCATCTGCGTATAGGCATTAATCAAACTAAAATCAGGATGATAGTATTGCTCTTAAGGTATATACCCAGAAAAAGACAAAGTTGTGGATGTCCAGGAAAGCCTTAAAAATGCAATAGGATTTTCCATTTCTCTTAGCTGAGGATAGAATGCTTTGATTGTAAAAGCCCAACCAGTAATCACAGGGATGCAAACTACAGTGAATAGCTGTTTGCATGTTCTGTTAGTTGCTGCATTTGACTCTTTCTATTTTAAATTAATATAACCTGTTAAATATTAATAGAACCTGTGCTAAATTAATAGATCATCCTCCTTTACATTTCCATATTGTGCCCAGAAAGAACAGACAATTTTAAAAATAATTAATTCAGTGCAAGCTGTGTCAATTAAACTTCATCGTCTTTGTGACTGCTGTCTGAAGAAATTTCAAAAGAAAAACTGAGTATCATACACATAGAATACAGTCAGCCTAAGTATTATCAATAATGAAGGTTATGGAGCTTGTATGAAATTGATTTGGTAAAGCAAAGTGATTGGATCCCCTTAGGGATACATAATGTTTCCTTATGCTCCTTCCTCTGATTGGAAGGAATGTGTCAAACACTAAAGACTGATGATCTTGCCTGTCCAGGAGTTGAAAATTGTGGTGGCGTCCAACATAAATGATGAAGAAACCTGTAGTTGGATGCTGAGATACAGCAACAGATAATTAAGGAAAGCTACAGCCATTAATTAGTTAATTAATTCCTGTGATGGGAATGTGCCCTTTTTGTTCACTAAAACAGGAGAGAGCATAAGATTGTGATGGGAATGTGACCTTCTTGTTCACCAAAAACAGGAGGAAACATAGTGTAAATAAGTAACCGCCAACTAGTATGCGATAACATATGAGACTAAACATTGCTGAGCTAATCATCTAGAAGTTGTTCCAAGTCCCAGGTTCCCAGGAGGGGGGGGGTACCAAGGAAAAGTACCAGAGGCCTTCATCGACGACCACCAGGAGGCAGAAGGAGACCCTCTAACAGCCGGGCGGACATGCGCGGAGAAGCACCGGAATTGCGATGGGGCTAGAAGCGGGAGGGTACAAAAAGGGGAAACGGAACAACTTTCGGCGCGGCAGTTGGTGGAGCGAGGACTCCCCTGCCGCCCAGCGCTGCAATTTGCTTTCTCTTTTCTGTATTAATAAATTGGCTATATAATTGACCCGACTGGCCCATTGCGCTCATTTCTAACAATAACAATTCCCTTTGTACTGATGGTCTCTTGCACTTGTACCCAGTTATACAATAGCCTATGTTGTTCCCTTCATTTTTTCTCTGACCCTTTTGTTCCCTTGTACCAAGAGTGTGTGTCACTCTTGGTACACACACATTTGCCCTTGTCACATTTGCCCTTTCAACTCTCTTCCCACTTTTGAGAGTGCAAGTTATTCCATGCCTTATTCTTATGCACTGGGATCTTCTCAGCATTTGTTCAGACAAGGCTGGGAAATTATTTGGTAGCTCTTTCCTCTTAGACCATTTAGGCTGCTGTCTGCCACTTCAGCTTTTTACTGGCTGTGCTGGTTTATCCCTGCCCTTTCAGGCCGCACTGTGACCTCAGGAATGCTCGTCAGGCCTTGATGAACAGCCACTGGGCCCAGCTCCTCGAGCTTATCAGAAACGCTGTCTGCTCTCAGAAACTTGCACTGCCTAACGAGCTCCTGGATTTTTAATGAACAGCCTCGGAAACTGTTTTTCTTGCCTGAATGGTGTAACATCCTTATTCTCACAGTTTCAAAGAAGGGGTGCTGGCCCGAAGCGTGGCCAGGTTGAACACTGTTATGACTAAGGCCCGCTCACTTGTGGCCTACAAACAGAGCTCCAAAATGAGACCCTTGGAGCTCTCCTGGGCCGCAGCGGCTGAAACCGGCAACCGCCCTCTGAGCCAGCAAACTTTCCTTTGCTGCGCCCAGAGACCACCAAATAACAATGGACCCTGGGCTGATACCCCCACTCCTCGAGGCCCCTTTACCCATTGAGGAGATGCAAGGGCATCCAAAGTGAGTATTTCATTACCTTCAAGGGGAATTTTTCATGAGTACCTTGCACTGACTTTTTATGTCTGTGTGCATACAAGTGTGCAAAACTATGGCAAAACAGGAGAAATGCTGCTCTCTCAGGTGTTCAAGTATCTTAGGTATGTAAGTAAGCTAGGCCTGTAAGTAACTTTTATTAAAGTTATAAGGTAAGTTAAATGCTGTTGAGTGTTATTCCTTTGCTAAATTGTTACATTTAAGGTATAATTTATGTTAAATGCTGTTCAGTGTGGTTCTATTACTAAATTGTCAAGTTTAAGGTACAAGTAAGTTTAAGTACTGTTGAGTGCTATTAAGCTTTTAGGCTGTATTTCTTTTTATGCTTGCCCTTTCTATCCTTTTATCACACATAGCTAAACACACATCAAAACACACACTCACAAATAGATAGTACTTGGTTAATTTCTGTTTAGATTGAGTGGATTTTGTTTGTTGCTTTCTTACCCTTGGTGTGCCTTAATCATCTAGTAAGTAGTAGAGTGAACCTTGCCAATGACTCTTGTCATGCAGTTACTTAGTATTAAATCTGATTTTTACTGATACCCTTGCTGGTGATTTTTTAAGTAACCTCAACTTTCATAACACTGCACAATGAGGTTTTCTATTCAGGTCTCCTTTTTTCCCTGTAAAATAAGTGATCTGAGAATCCATGAGTCTAAGATGTACTTGTAGATACACTCTTTTTGTCACTGTGGTAAAAACAAACAGTGATTTACTCCCTTAAGCAGAAATGTCCTTCATTTTTTGAGCAACTGACATTAATTGCTCCTGGACTTTCACAAACACATATATCCTGTCATAGCTGAACTGAAATTTCTGCCTATCCTGCATTTTAGATTAATTCCACACACATTTACATGTGTGTCCAACTACTTGAAGATAATAGAATTTTTGTTTTTCAGCTCTGAGCTTAGTGTAGTGTTCCCTTCCATTTCATAGGATCAATGAAAACAATTCAAAAGCTAAGTGCAGATATCATTTTAATGTCCCTTCATAAAAGAAAGATACTGTTCTAAGAGATTTCACTGTGTAAGTAAAAGGTACAAAAAGAGCCCAGTGAATTGGCCTGAAAAAACAACAAAATTTGGCTTATATAAGACTCTTGCAACCTGAAGGCATGAATAATACTTGCATTTCCATATCTCAACAAACTAAGCTCCTCTGAGATGGAAAAAAGCAATTTTGGTGAAGAAACTGTCCATTTTAATAGATGTGTGGTTTTGTGTAAGACGCTATCCAGTTAAATGTTCTATTCCATTCTATGCCATTCATTTCGATATGCACATGCAAAGCTAATAAGGGACCATCAGACATCAAACCATCATATAATGTGCCCAGCTGCCAACCGTATGTGTGCTACCAATTTTAAATCATGTTTTGATGGGCATTGAAAGCAGAGTCCATCAGATGTTGTCCATTATGAAAATTCCATCTGTGCTTACGGGAATGCAAATCAGAGAAGAATCCTGTAGTCATCTCTCATGTAGATGTTTGCATTTCTTGCCTTGAGATAAGGACTCTAATCAAATTACTGTTTTTTCACCTGGAAAAGACTGTGCTTTAGAAAAGAAATGATGACTACTCTCTTTCTTTGAATTGCTCACTGATTACTTCTTCATCTTTAAATTACAGTAATACAGAAAAGTGCTTTTAACAGAAAAGGGCTTTGTTTCAAATGCTGGCCTCACTGCTTTATGTTATGTGTGAATAGTTTCCTAGAAAATCTTTTGAGCTTTTTCCAGGATGCTCAATAGAAAGAGGTACACGACAAGATGATTTGCATGATGTCTTTCAGCAATGTTAGAGCAGGATGAACTTTGAATTTTTTTTGTTTCATGATTTGATTCACTGTACCAGACTGGAATCAAGCTGCCATTGCAGTTATGTGGTATAGATGTGTGTGGAAAGAGTTCAGATGTTTTGGAAGGGTCTGATTCCATGACTTTTAAACCTTCTTCAGGTTGCAAACTGGCAGGTTTAGGGTGGGGGGTACAAATCACCTTTAGATTACAAACAGAAGTGAAAAAAGAGAATATGCCTGCTCTCAGACATGATGCATGTCTTCAGAGGATCCTAATCCCAAGAAATGTAATTTTCCTACTAATACAAAAGTTGCTATTTTCCTTCACAGAACAAACCCTTATCAAACTTATCTTATAATTTTTCCAATAGTGCACAGGGATTTAGTAGATGGTGCATATAATGCGTGTTGAAGGTATTTTTATTCATATGGCCATAGTTATTTAGGAGGTTAGTTACAGACAGAAAGGTCTTCCAGAATACTGGCCCTATGAGTCACTTTCCAATATTTCTGTCTACTTTCCCTCTTTGATTTCTAAACATATGCTAATGAACTGGAAAGTATTTAATTAAATTTTATGGAAAGGAAGCTTTGGAGGGAAGATATACGAAAAGAGGCTGGGAAAAAAACACAAGGACCACTTTTGAATCTCGTGTGCATAAGGAATGTGGAATAAGGGAACATAAACCAAATTGTGTGAGAGCAGCTGTTCGGGGTGTCCCTGCTGAGCAGCCGTGTGCCTCAGAGCTCAGCCAGGAGCAGGGCAGCACACACGGATTGTGGGCTGAGCACAGCCCACGTGTTTTGCTTGTTGGTGTGGGCAGAGAGCTCTGAGGTTTCTTCCTGAAGGCCGGTGAGGGGAGAGCAGGGAAGGGCAGAGGATGGACCAACCCTCCCAACATGGGTGTCTCATGGTGCTGAGCTGTGAACCAGCATGGTGACAATGCATGGTGCTGACAATGGCATGTCAGCGTGTCATTGCCATGTGCTCAACTTTCTGCATGTCTGTTAAATGGCATTAAAAATGTTCATGGATGCCAGTGCTGTCACCTGTGACACAGTTTCTGTCATGAGGGAAAGGAAGACTCCATCTCAAGTTATCCTTTGACTTGGTATTTTTTAATTTGTAAAATAAAGCAATTCAGGCACAGACTCAGATCTATTACAGGTCCATTGTTTCAAACAGATTGACAACATCCAACCCAGACACATTGAATCAGGATGGGCTTAGTGAACACAAGGCTCAAGTCATGTATGTTTCTGTGACAGTTACTTTAAAAGTGAATAAACTCCCACTACAGCTGGAAAGGCTCCCAAATCTCCAGTTCTGATGTAAGTATAATGCACTGACAACAGTCATTACTTCAGGAAGAGCAGAAAAAGATCAAAAGGCTGTTTTGTTCTTTTACTGAATCACACAGGAATCTGAGTTTTTGCCTTGTTTTTCTCTTGTTCCAGAGAAACCATGGCAATTTTCAAGGAAAGTGTAGCAAATAGGAGACAACTTACAAAATATTTCAAAACAAAACTCACATCCAAGTAAAGCAAATTTTTACTCTTCTTCATCATTCCAGATCAAGGCCCTAATATATTAATTCCAGTGCCTAATATTTTTTATCTCTGACAACTTCATTTAATTAATTTGGATCTAAACTAGAAATTGCATGCTAACTCATGATCATTTACACAGATATAGTACTGAAAGGACATTTAGTGTGGTGCCAAATCCTAGCTGGAAGCTCTCAAAATTTGGGATTGCTCCAAATTAAAACCATTGTGTATCCTGTAGGACAGGCAGACAATATAACTATACACATGGATTCCTTATCACTTAAAGGTGAAAAGACTCTGGAGTAGAGGAGAAGCAAACAAATAAAATATGTAATATAGAAGAAAAAGAAGGAACAGACTGACTTGATGCCTTTCCTATGGGCCTCTAAGCTGGGATCCCTGAAACCACTTGCATTACTTTGCATCCGTCTGGTGTGTATCAACAGAGACCGAATCAGCAGAACACTGGAAACAACAGACAATATTAAAGGCATAACTATACCAGCATTAGAGAGAAGAATTATTAAACCCAAACTGTCTTTTTTTGTTGTTCTCCTTGCTGAAGAGTTTGTCATGGATGAAGGAGCAGTGATGTTCTCATGCACACTGTAGACATCCCAGGCAAAGGGAATTGCAGCTGTGAAGGAGAAGAGCCATGATGTGAGCAGCAACCAGGGCACCAGCCTGGCAATTCTTAGCTTCAGCCAGATGAAGAAAGACTGTGTAAAACTGGCAAACTTGATACAATAGAAGACACTAAGCCAGGCTCCAAACCAGAGGCTGGATTAGCTCAGAAATGTAAAAATTGTCTTGGAAACTACAAACATGTTTTCTTCGTGAATGAAGGGCTCATAAAATAGACTCATTAAGGAATCCAGTGTATTCCATGACTGCAAAATGAATTTAGATGAACTCAGTGAGATCATGATCATGTCGTATGGAGGCCATATTTTGCTCCCAATGCAGCTTGATAAACTGGCAGCCAAGATAATTCCATTTCCTAGAATTCCTGCCAGGGATTCAATTATAGCAATTGATAGACAAAGGACAGCAAAAGATGTCACCATTGCAATACAAGAGCTTGCAATTATTACTCAGCTTCCTCTGGGCTCCTGAAAGCCTCATATTTGCCAGGCACTACCAATCCCAAGGAGCTGTTATGGGCAATGCTCACCTACTTATCTCAGGGGCAGAAGTATCCTAATGTCATTTAATATTTCTGCTGCTTTACATGTTGTTTTGGGGGTTGATGTCTCAGCTGTTTTGTCTAAGCATGCAAATTGGGTCAAGAATCGGTTGCATAGTTTTCATTTTTGTGGAAGGATTTGCATTGTAAAGCTATGGAGCAGCTCAACTGGGGATTTTAGAACTGTGGGTTTGCACTCCAGTATCTGATGTCCTGCTTTACATGCCTAGATTTGGTTTTCTTAAAATATCTTATGCTTTAATCTCTTCCTGTCTTGCATTGTCATGTCTTAGTTTATGAGAGTAATAATCTCTGTGGCCTCTTCTAATACTGAAGCAGGTCCTTATCAGATGTATTCAAATATCTGCCAATAGGCTTGGTGGGCATGTGACAGCCAATCAAGGTCAACCCCCAACAGGTATAAAGGATTTTCATCATGTCTCCCCTGTCATTGCACAGTATTGTAAAGGTTCTAATATTTCAAGGCCTTGTTTTTATGTAATGAACCAAAGTGATGACATCCTGTAGCACCTTTTGCAGGTCTGATTCCAGTTTCTTTGCTGTAATAACTCATCTATGAACATTGCAGTGAACAAATTCCAGGTGTAGTGATGGTGATGTAATCTTACCACCCAATCCTTCTCTTATGCCAGTCAAAGCAGCTGTTCCACTGGTCTTTACACTTGCACAGCTCTTCCAGGAAATATTTTTAGGAAATAAGTAATTTACAGTTGAGAATACAGCTTCTGTGGTAAATCTTCCCTTCAGTGGCTTAAAGAAAGTAGCTCTTAATTTATATCATTACTGAAACAGAATTTGTAAAACACATTAATCTGAGGCATTTTAGGAACATTTGTACTTTCATCCATCCACTCAGTAATCCTCTTCCACTATGTAATTCATGCTGATACTTGTCTCTTCAAACCTTCAGCAGTATTTTTATGTGTCTTCTAACAGTGTTTGCTGACAACAGAATCCATTTTAGTTTGCTGCTTTATTGCTTTCTGTGTATTATCCCAGCCATTTTTACTTTTTATGGCAGGAAGAATGTTTCTCTGGTGCTATATGACATTTTTTTCTTTTGCTGTGAAGCCTCAAGAAACCTCAAAGGAGGCTTCTCTACACATCTGTCATTAAGTTTGGTGAAATTTTGTAAAGTAGTGAATTGAATCACGTGGCTTGAAACAAGGCTGAAAAATTGTAGGGGTTCATCTTTGTGCTCTGGATGCTTAGATTTTAAATAACTTGGTAATTCTCATGGCTTCATACTGACATTAGCTAAATTTTCAAAGCATTTTCAAAGAAAAGTTTTCAAGTACTTCCTGTCCATGTGATCTGCATGGCCACCTGTGTGCTTGAGTAGTCTGACTGTAAGTGCTTGTGTGCGTTTCTATAGACCACAGGATGATACAATCATGGAATGGTTTGGATTGGAAGGACAATTTACAGATCATCTAGTTCCAACCTCCCCACCACAGGCAGGGATACCTGCCCAAGGAGTATTTCCTCAGCCTCACTTCCTAGCCTGACTTCAATAAAACAGAGCTGTAACATCCACACTTCATCAGGAAAACGGATTCATCCACTTGTAGCAATACTGCCCATACATGACAGAATCTAATTAAGTATAGACATAAACAAATATCATAAATACCAACTCTGCTGGAGATGTTTCAATAGGAGAGGTTAGACATTTAATGAAATTATGTAACATTGAAACAATATCTGTTTGTAGTTATTAACATACTACAGTACCCTCCTAATGTTGTACAATTAGAGAATCGGAACAGTTTGCAGTCAGCAAACTGCTTACAGAAATAATTCTAAATTTAGGGTTATTACTAAATTGCAATTCATCCCATATGCAACAAACTACAGAACTTGCAGTTATTTCATGCAACTTTATATTATCCTGGTAACCCACACCAGGGAATGACCTTTGTTTCCATGGCTAAGAGATCCAGCGTGACTCATGTGCCTCTACTCACTGCAGACCTCAAAAGCCAAGCCAAGCCTACCGTATCTGGCAATGGGCTGACAGTCTGAGTGACACTGCTGCCATTCCAGCTGCTGGATTTGATTCTGCTGCTGTATTCTCAATTATGCTCATGCTCAGGATTATCTAGAAAGTACTGGAGCAATCTTTTTCTCTAGGAAGGGTCAAAGGAAGCTGCTGATGGGTAGATAACTCCTTCACCCCGTGAAAAATTACTGTCCAGTTCCAGGGATCATATTGTGCTGTGCACTTTGGTGGAACAGCAAGAAGTGACACATTTTGACCTGAAAAGGGTCAGTTTAAGTAAGTATTGATCTCATGCCTGTCACTGTCACTGTATCACATTCTGGTCACCGACACCTGAGAAGGTGCTCCATTGCATTTTGCAGCCTTACTCCCTTGATGCTGATTGTCAGGCACTCAGTCTGAGTCCATGGTGCAGATGGAGAAAAAGGTCTCTCAGGCCATCTCCCAGAATCTATCCATAAGTCAAAATCAACATCAGAGATCAGATGAATGCTAGCTGAATCTAACAGCCCATCCTCATGGAGCCAACTAGCAAAATACATATATATCCCCATACACAGTTTATAGAAAGGCTACAATAGAAGCCTAGCAGTCAACTGTTTCAAAAGCTGCTCAACACCCTGTAAACCCACAAGGGAGAATTATGGTTGAAGCATAGATTACAATGGTCATGTCAAGGAGCAGCAGGAGGAGCTGTTCCATAAGGAAATGAGATCCAAAAAGGCAGCATCGCCACAAGGCAGGTAAGGACAGAACTGTCAAGCATGCAGTCCCACCTCCTATAGGCAAGGATAGCAGAGAAGCTCTGTAATGGGTCAGCCAGCAGTCCAGTCATACCAGATATGTCCATAGTGATACAACATGTCCAAGATCAAGCCAGTAATTCCAGTTTGTAACCAGGATCAGTATCCAGGTCAGCAAGGCAGGTGGAAAGACTCAGGCAAACTGCAGCACAGCTCAGTGAGAGAGCAAGGATGAGCACCCAGCTTAGAAGCAGCTCCTGAAATGACAGGAGGCTGAGCCCTGCTGAGGCATCTTCCAGCAATTTGTTTTAAGGTCAGTCAGTTGTGTTGTGGAAGTCGACTCTGAAACTCAGCAGCCAAAACCCCCAAAGCAGTATAGAGCCCCTAATCATATTCATCATATCAGTACCTGGGAACTTTATCAATTAGTCCATCCCAGTCGCGTCTTTTTATTGTCTGGTGGTAAAAACTAATTATATCAGCAGTATTCAAGTAGATTCTAAGGGCTTTACAAAGAAATCAGAATTAAGTACCACAGTAGATGGGTAGCTAAGTACATAAAATAGTTCATAAATATCTAGAGAATAAGTATACAATGTACAGCACTCTAATCTGGTTTACCAGGAGCACAGCCAGTAGAGTAAGGAAAATTATTATCTTCCTCCACACTTTTTAAAGGTGGTATCTGGACTATTGCATCCAGTATTTGGGGGGAATTTTATTTTTCTGGTGACTGGACACTACCAAATTTACACACAACACCAGGCTTAGGCTGAGCACAAAATTCTGTAAGACAGATTCAGAATTCAAAATCATTTTGGCAAGCTGGAGATGCAGTCTGATAAAATAGGCACAAATGCCTACAGACTATGAATAAACACATGCATATTTAAATTTGTGAAGGAAGATGTAATAAAAATAGATGCCATGCTGGGAGACGCAACCAAAAATTTTTCTTTGTTGCAATTGTACTCTTGTATGTAGGTCTAATAAAGTTGTATTGCAGAACTTTAAAACCTGGAAACAACAGCCTTTTTTTTTTTTAGAAAGAATAAATCTGCCAAAGGTCTAAAAAACATGCAAAAATAACTCTGAAAATACAGGAATAAACTTTTATTAAAGTGCATTGTGGAGAAGGCAAGGAGCGGCTTGTTTCATAATTACAAAGCCAGATCCTTTTTACAATTAGTGTTAAAACTTACAGGAAAAAAAAAATCATGTATATTTTCATTGCAAACTTTTAAAAATAGTTTGAACAAGAAGCTTTTGGAGAGTCTAAGGGGAAGCTGATCTTGCCTTGGAAAAGAGAAATGAATGAAAGCAAAGCTTATTAATCTAACTCTATAAAAATCTACTAAAAATACATTTGTTTCCATTTCATCTGTATGGGAGAAAATCTCTTCCAACTTATTTGGCTACTGAATGAACCAAAGTGTTTGGTACTTAATAATACCTCATAGTGACACAGGAAATTATTTAGTTCAATTCAAAACATGCCATGTTGCTGGCCAGATGCAAACTCTGCTTTACAGAGGCACTGGCAAGTTACCTGATTACTCAAAACCACATATTACAACAGAATGAAAAATACAAATGGAACTTGAAATCTTCAGAATTCTAAGTTTAAGCCTTAACTTCTGAAACATACTGCAATAACTGGAGATACTGAGGAGGATGAAAAGTCTAAGAAGAGGAGACATAAAATGAAATTGTGGTGGAAATACAGAAGAAAGAATTCTTCTGTATTCTGGGTTCTGCTCAGAAGAGATGAGGTAATTTTAATTTTTTTAATTTTTTTTTTTTTTATTATTACACATGCATTACTTTGTGATATTGCAAAGTATATGAAGAGCTTTAGTATCTAAGTTTGACCTAAACCACAAATGAGGACAGCAGATTTAGGGCTGACCGAAAGAGAATTATTGTGACTGATGGCACTTCACTGTGTGGTCCACAGATGTAACTAATGGTAGATATTATATATGTACTTCTAACAAAAAAAATACTTAAAAACAATGTCTTGGTGATACCTTCTAAAGTATTTTGAATGGCCATGAAATTCATATAGTTTAGAATTTAGCTGTAAATGCTATGCTTCCATACAGTTTCTTGTTG